CTCTCTCTCTCTCGCTCTCTCCCTCTCTCTCTCTCTCTCTCTCTCTCTCTCTCTCTCTCTCTCGCTCTGTCCCCCGGTGGGGCCACACCTTCCCTACACTTCCGCCGAACAGCCCCGCGGCGACAGTCGAGGCGAGCGGAGCGGAGCGACATGGGGGAGTTGGCGTCGCTTCGCGCCTTGGATTTGCTTTGCCTGGCTTTCTTTTCACCTACACTGTTGAAGCCATCACAGCGATAAACGCGGTGACTTTAACGAATATTTCGCGCTAACAGACTCAAGATAGACAACGCAGCGTTTGACGCGTTAAAAAAAAATCAACAGTGCGATGCGCGGTTGTTTGTTGAAGAAAATAATGCAAATACTGTGTGTCAGGGCTACGACACAACAGTGCTGCGGGTTTGCATACCCAAGGTGTCATGGTGCCTTACGAGTAGAGCGAGTAGGCTACCCAGCATACTGTTGTGTCGTAGCCCTGACAACTGCAAGTTGAATACGTAATACTTACAAGTATTCGACTCCGTACACTTACAAAAAGTGTTCATCATGTAAGTGTGCAACTCCTTTGCCGAGCCTCACACAGTGAGCTAAGGAAGTGTTCAACACTTACAAGTGCACAACAAGGGAGTTGGAGTTGAATACTTGCAAGTGTTCAACTTGCAGCTCCGCACAGTTAAAAGTGCTCAACAGTTGGCTAAGCGACGTGCCAGAGGAATGGGACATGGAAATCATAGGGGATGCGGGGTGATGAATCGCATTCATCCGGCGTTTCTTTATTCGGGCCTAACTGGTGGCGCGGGAAGGACGAGGAAATTGGCCCTCTGCGCGCCAAAGCTGGTCGCTTGGGCCGCGGCCGCTGAGCTCTCGGCGCTCTCTCTGGCTTTAAAAGGAAACAATCTGGGAAAGGTGATTAACATGCGGAGAGCCGCGCCGGGGCGGGGGGGACAGAGGGCCCGGAATTGACGGAAGGAAATAAAGGGGAAAAGGAGCGGAAGGGAAATGGCAAAACAAACAAATAAAAAGCGGGAGCAGAAGGACCGCGGCTGGCCTGCCTTCGTGCCGTTATTGCGATGAGGCACAAGCCGGTTGCGGCGGGACAGCGGCGGGCCGAGAGGAAAGAAAACACAGGTGAAAATATTTCTCGACTGCGCTGGCGGCGAGTTGAAGCATTCGTGGCCTTCCGGTCCCACTGCTCCCAGCAGTGTGCACCAGCCGGCACCAGCACTACTGGGACGTTCTCGACTCCCGCCTCGCGAGGCGGCTGATGTCGGACAGTGCGCTGCACGTCGTGCAGGCGTGGCGAGTGCGCGCGGCCCCTTCACTCCTGAGCAGTAAACTCTGAAGCCGTTTCAAGCAGAAAGGCCCTTCCCCTCTCGCCTTCCCGACCGCTGTAGCTCTCTGGAGCGCCACCCCTCGCCGACCCACCT